CCTATTCTCACCTGAGACACTTTTGTCTTCGTCTCCCGATTAGATGAAGCAGCTGCGACCGGTTCGCGGAGGCAGCGTGCGAGGCTCCCCTCGTGGCTGAGGGAACGCGTTTAATTGACGACTCGACCCGTGAGGCTTCTTTTTAAAGAAGCTGTTCGTGAATTTAATGAGAAACACGAGGAGTACGCGACGCTGTGGGGGAGCTACCGGTCTCTCTCCCTTCTTTAGCTCCCGTTTCCCGCGCGCCCGGCGGAATGCCGGCGCTCTCGAGGAGCAGGCTCCATCGCGGGTCTCGATATCGTTAGGGGATCCCATGGCGTGGAACACGGAAGCGCGCGAGTGGAGGAAAGTGTACACGCTTCTCGTAATTGAAGAAAAATGAGACGGCAGACAAATTCCTCTCCCGCCGTCCTGTCTCTCAGGGGCGAAGCATTTTTCTAACTTTGACGGGAGTCAGGCTCGCGTTGGAAGTTTCTAACTCTATCGTGGATTGAAATGAAATTATGGGATTAAATAATACACCATGTCTCCTGCTCTGAAGATTGTCTCGGTTGAGACGGGACTGACAGTTTCATTCTTCCGTACACTTTATTTTGAAACGATCTCATTGAATCAGTCCAGAATAAATGTCTTCGCGGAGCAGCGAATTATAATACACCGATTTTTAGGGGGAAATTCCAATTACTGCCAATTACAGTGTCCATATGATTAATTATTTCTATAACTAGACGGCTTCGTTTAAAAAAATAATTTAAAGTTCGTTCTCTGCAATTATTCGTTATTACGTAAATCTTCTTTGCAAGGAGATCGAAAACTTTCTTCACTATTTACAGGCAGTAGTAATGGTAAACCATGGTCAGACATATTACTTCTGACTCCTATTCAATAAATTTTCACGTGGTCGAAAAAGAATCTAAAGTAGTCAATGAATCTCCATTAAAGTTCGAACTTTTCTCAACACTCCCGTGTGCTAAAAATGCGCCGAACTTGCGCTCCAATTAAAATCTCCGAATGCCGTCGGCGGACGATCGATTCCTTCTCCGTTAAGAAATCGTTATCGCGGACAAAGTATCCCGACTCTATCTCGGATCTCGGTCACGACGATAAACGAGCATCGCCACGATAAAGTTTCCCCAGTTATCGGTCCCCAATCCCGTTAAGCGGGTTGCGTGATTCCGAGCCGAGTCGCGCCGACGAAAATCGCGGAAGAAGGAGCCACTCGACGTAACGCCGTTTCAAGTGATCCGAACAACCGTTTCCATGGAACGTCTCG